TTTTTAGATTTTCTATAAGTTAATCAGACCTATGTATTTGGGGCAACATGATTGGTTTCCATGAATCTATGGCTGGGGAGGAAAAAAAAGCTCTTTTTCATAAAGTATTTCTTAATAGCTTTCCATTCTTCTCCCAGATGGCTTCTAGACAGGAGATGGATGTCTGTGCTTTTGTAGGATGCTATTTTTAAAGTGAAGCAGTTGCTGGATGGTTAATGAATAAAGTAATAAAAAAGTTTGGAACTTTTTTCTTGACTGCTTCCCAGGACACAGGTTTTTGTGTGTGCAAAATAGCCTTGATTCTCACTTAGATGATGCAAGACAGGAGGTTCATTCCTGAAGTCCAGTGGGTTACATTAGTCTGAAGCTATTACGAGTTAAAGTAGTATTAGACTTCATTGGATATATGCCTACAGTTCATTATATAGATAAAAAAGGTGCATATGTGCAATTTGGGGGATAATATTTTATGCTTACCTCCCCAGATCCACTTTTTTAGCTTATTTTTCATGTTTAAGTGCCAGATCATATTCTAAATCCCATTGCCAGTAACAGATAAGGTTTGTTTCTTATATATTTTACTTGGACAGCAAGATAGTAGATAGCTGAGGACATGACTTTCAGTTCTCAGTTGCATTCCTTATGTGAGGACCTAGCATCAAGAGTACCATTTTACACTGGAAAGTCCCTTCAAGTACGTGGGACTACACGGTATCATGTCAAGGTCAAATAGTGCTCAAAGACAATCTCCCCATCTGTAGTGTGGTACAACTCATTGACCTGGACATAATATTTCCATATTTCCCAAGGAAGCTCATCCTTGCATGAGTATTAGTATTTTTCACCTTTTTTCAGGCACATCTGTTTGCTTCCAGATTTCAGAGATAAAAGGAAGCTTCTCATTTCTGTTTTCACCATAGAATTTCCTCTCACACCAGTTAAGTACTCCTCTCAGAAAAGCTATGCCACCGACTTGAGTGAGTACAATTTTTTTAAATTGCATGTCTGTAAATATCCACAAAAGTTTTACTTCTTTGTGTCCCCAAAGTGTTGCACATGTATACAGATCCACTTCAGATTTCTCTGCTTCTTTTTCAAGAAGTATCACCATTTACTCCTTCAGAATGATCCTTTTTGAGCTTGATGCTTTGTGAGTTTTCGTTTAATTTTAACACTTAGGTGGTCTAACTGGTACAGGCACTCCAAGTTATTACATGGCCTTCGTATGTACCTAGGAGGTCTGACATCAGCCTTGAAGACACACTTTGTCTGTTTAGTTACCATATTGCGCTGCTCAGTATGTCACTGCTGCACCTTCCATGAAGGCACGCAACTGACTTAGCCTAAAGCATCGTGCTCCTAGCCCAGTTCTCCTTCTGGGCAAAAACACATGGAGGCAAAATCTCAGAGGGCATAGTCATGACGTATGGCTTGCTGCTGGGTGACCTTCTTTTTTTCCCCAAGACAAAATCCAGGCCTCCTGCCACTCATCTGGTTTAAACTGACATAACCTCATGGCAGTCAGTGTGACCTCAGTACATTCTTGAGCTGAATTGCCTTAAACCTAAGCTTAAAGTGCCTTCCTAATCAGGGCTTTAAAGTCATTAAAAAAGGGAAAAAAGCTGGTGAAGAGAAAAAAGAGATCTATCCCTGCATGTGTCATGCACATCTATGTCATTGAACAACAAATATTCATTTCAAAGATCTAAACAACAAGGAAGATAAGTATGCCTAACACATCAAGGCTAAAGGCCTCACATTTTTTTCAGAAGTCTGAATATAATCCTACTGTCTAAAGTAGTATTAGAATATATGTGTCAAAATGATGCATATCTTGGACTCTTCTGGCCATATCATAGGCAACAGTGACTTGAAGCTATTCATCTTATATGAAACTGCTTTACTGTAGAAGAATGATAGGACTTCCATCTGTCGATAAGATAGTTATTTCTGATGATTCTGCAACGCGTAACAGCCGTTTAATTTTATCAATTCCTGTTTCCTGTGCATTGTATCTTTCTTCTGATGTCTGAAAGACTAAGAGAGCAAACTTACTTTACCTTTACTAATGTGGAACTTGAATAGTTCCACATTCAATGCTAGAGGAAGGAATTTAGTAGAACTGAATGTAAGAGCCAAAAGCTGAAAAGAAAAAATTTTAAAAAGCATAGTTTCTTTTCTCATGAAGCAACACCTAAATTTGTATGCTACATATGTTTAAGATACTCAGTATCCTGTTCAAGTGGTTTAGTAGTTACTGCATAATATTTAAGGCTGCTTTAAAAAGAGAAAAAAAAAAAAGCACCAAAGTTTGCTTTCACTCTTTTCTTCATAAATATGTTTGTATTACTTAACTTCATAAAAAAGTTCTTCAACTTTTTCTGCTCAGAATGAAAAATAGAAAATATAATATTTTCACTGTCTCAAACACCTGAACATTTTTGGTTTTCAGGTTTTCATGTAAAAAATTCTTCTAGTGTTATGGGAAGAGACAGAAGTTTTACATTTCTGTATGTTTTCTAAATAGAAACTTCTTATTCTCATAACTGACCTAACTTCAGGTTTTAAAAAATCTCAGTCCCAATCTTGTTTTTGTCTTTTTCCCTGAAACACACAAGGGAAAGACGTTGCTACAAAAGAATTTAGGATCTGTTTTCCCCACAGGAACTACTCACATTATCAAAACTAGTTACAGGACACTAATACACTGACTGGAACTGCATTTTCTTTTTAATCTGCAAGTTACTTGGTCTTCTTTCCATTGTAAAACAAACAAAGTGGATGGAGGTTCCTCTTTGACCTTGAAAATGTACACAGGATTAACACTTTTTAGGTCACTGCTTGCCAGGGCAGCAGATGATGCTAGAGAAGCTGATAAAAGTACCAGCAAGCAGCATTAGGCTGATGAGGGGATTACAGTGGGGAGCAGGGGAGTCCTGCCCACAGCCGCTCAGGAGGACTTCACCCAGCCACGGGCTGAGCTCTGTCAGCCCACAGCGACCAAGACCTGGGTCATCTGGGCACGGGTGGGATGGGTGCAAGGAGCTAATGACACAGTTTAGACAAGGCTTTACTGGGGCATCTGCTGTTATTTGTGCTAAACTACTTCTGTGGCTACTAATAGCAGCAGTAATACGTTCACTGGTGTAATGCCTTTTGTAATTCCTCCCTGACTTAAATCAGAAATCAATTGGACCCTACGTGATCAAATATTTTCCCTGCAGAGAGATAACATTTGACATGACAAACTATGTTCTGTAAGGTGAGGAGGAGATCAAACAGTTACAGATATCAATTAAATCTGATGAAAGGTGTACTCTTTCACACAAGTGCAATTAACCATTAATTTCTTTGGGAACAAGGTGGGACTTCTGTTCCTTGGCAAGTATTTAAGATATTTAAGGTAATCAGAAATACTTTTATTTTTTATTAAATACATAAGGTTATACCTATAACCTATTCATGCACAAATGATTAAGTTGAGACGTTGGATTCATTTCTTCAAAATCAGATTAGATTATTAACTTAATTAGGCAACTGAAAGTTAGAAAATATTAAACAGAATTAATCAGTCCAAACAAATCTACAAGACTTCCATCAGGACCTAGAAATTTTTCTCAATATAGCAAAATGCTTTATGAAATAAGTTCATTGAAATCTCACACAGTGAAGAAAGATCTTGACTCTCCTGCTGTTCCGTTTCAATATTTTCAGAGTGAAACATTTAAATTTTTCATTTCTAATTTAGTCTTTGTTATACAGTATCACACAAGACTTTTAAAAAATAATAATCCAAACTGTAAATCTTTCCCATGTTGCCAACGCTTATAATTTCCAACAACCAACGCAAATGTCAGTACGAATTTTCCTTGTGGAAATTTTGTAATTCTGGGATTCTACCCTGGAGCTAAACTAGATTAAGATAAAATCCTTCATGTATTATGACTTCCATTCTGCCTGTACTTGAACTGAGACAGCTTAAATATGACTGAAGATATGAAGCTAACTATTTAACCATGGAGTAACAAGTCAAGTGAATTAAGGGAACATTCTTTGCAAAAGCAAAAAGGTACCATTTTTCCGAAGGGCTAAAATCTGGGCTAAAACCATCTGTTTCCTGTGAGATTTGTTCCTTACACTTTGGTTGGAAAGCAAGTCACAGTTTGAAGTAAAAATACAGTTACAGGAGGGTGATAAGGAAACAGAAGAGTATGAAAGATTTTATATTTTATAGCTTGTTTTCTAAAGAACTTTACTGTGAGTAAACACCATGTATTTCGCAGCCAGAAAATATGAACACGATCTTTAACCACAACTTACATTAGATTCATGATATACTGGTACATCCTCTCTGCAAAGCACTAGTTTGTTGAGCTTTTTTTGAGAGGTCTGTTGATACTCTTGAGTTGCAGGTTTTTGAGTTTGAATACATTAGTTGTACAGCAGCTAAACAAGGGCAAGCTATTTGCAAGATAAATTGCTTCTACTTAGTTTTGGAACAGTGTTCAAAAACCATACAGCATGAGTTAGGCATCTTAGCTTTCTCGGAGGCCCTCGTGTTTTGGAAAATAACCTTTCAGACATCAGGCTGAGCTTGGAAGTTTCCATCAACCACTCACTCCTGGTCCAGTACTTTAGAAAACCTGATTACCACTTCCTTATGCTGAGCGCTTCTGAAGACCAGTGCATTATATCTCACCACATAGTGCAGGGAATAGGTGAAATGGTGGGGGTTACATTCAACAGACACAATGTCTATAATGCCATGTGTAATAAACAAGGCGCAGTAGGCTATGTGATTAATTGCATGAGCAGGCTCTGGAATACAGGAGTGTGGGAAGGGAAAAGCTGCCATCTCTGCTGAGGGGCAATGGTGACCACACATGGTGACTGTTGCACCTGTGGACAGCCTAAGGGACCTCAGTCTAAAGGATAAAGCCACAGTCTCTGGCATTCATCTCTGAGCAAAATACCGCAGGATCAAAGCCAACCTCAACATCAACTTAGATGTTGTTATGCTCATGTAATCATATTTTTAGTTCTTCCATGCTGAGGTTTCTGTTTCTGACAGATGAAGATTATTGATCTAGTCATGTGTACATTACCAACTCTGTTTCTACACTTCTTCAAGATCAGTCATGTTTGTATCTCAGACTCTCTCCCAGGACACTTCTTTTGACAATTTTTTTCTTTCTTTTTCTGTTCTTTCCTAGTTGAACAACAGAAAAATGAGGGTGGTCAGGAGACACGGAGCTTCAGCTCTCACCATGGCTTTGACAAATCACAGTTAAATGACTGCCCAAGAGATTCTGGATGTTACATCTCATCAGAAAATTCAGATAATGGTAAAGAAGAAGTAGACCCAGAAACCCTGTCTGACATGGTGCAGTCAATAACAATCACTGAGTCAAACTGATTCAGTCCTGCAACTTTTCTGCAAATTTTCAGAAAAGACAATCAGATTTGCTGGTGTGATGGCACAGAAGCAGAACACAAAATATTCTCAACACCAAAAATCTACTTCTGTCTGATGTATGATGCTCTAGACTGTTTAATATGTGGACACTTGATGATTGATAGCTAAATGTTAGCTGATAATAAGAATATCTCATACTTTTCTTTTCAATAAATCTGCAGACATTTCACTGAAAAGGTTTGTACATATGTATTTATAAATATTTGTACAGCAAATGCATTTTCTATAATAACAGAGAATTGTTTTAGGTAGTGGTACATAATCTGGACATGTTCATTTCTGGAACTGTCAAAATGTAAATATTGTACATATTTATTTAAAAATATACGGATTAATGACACTGTCTCTATTTTCAGATGTGTTTTGCTGATATTTGTACAGAATGTATTTTCATTTATATATCATCATAATAAAAAGGTGGATACATTCACAGCCTACTTTGAAAAGTACCAAGCCAATTTTCATTAATATTAAAGCTGTTTCATACCATTCTTCTCCAAAACGGGCTCTAAAGTAGACTATCGTCTCCTACACTTTATCCTGGAGGTAGGAAAGAACTGCTGTGTGAATCTGAATCAAGCTCCCTGTGTTCATTGTCTTTTAGAGAACATAGCCATCTGAATGGCTTATGCACTGGCAATTTCTTTATTGTTACTTTCACAACTGTCCTCATTCTTCCCAAGCAGTACACAGAGAATGCAAGCTCGGAGCAAAAATACCAATATCAATGCTATGCTTTTATGATAATTTTTTGTGAAGTTTTTTCTTACTTTTTGTGTGTGGTGTGAACTTTTTGAATAGAGTATTTGTTTGTATACAAAACTCAGAAGCTAATATAGTTGTTGTGCACTATTGTCTTTTATATGAGTTTTTATTGTCATTTCCCAGTATATTTTGCACTGGAATACACATTTTAACTGCCTGTCTTCTTTTAGAATACTTCCTTCAAAAATAAACAGAATCATGTGTTCGAGCCCTTTAAAAACTACTTGATTTTTAATGCAGTCATTACATTTCAGAGTGCTCTGTTCTAAGACTAACATAGTAAATGGCAACTCCACTGAGCATTTTTATCATGCATAATAATCTGTGTATCAAATCAATAGAGAAACTTTTTGCTCACCAATTATTCACACAATTTTCATAATTTAAAGCATTTTGCATTTATGTTAACAAGTTTCCACATATTGCTGACAACTTAGAAGAAAATCACCTTCAAAAGAGATGAAACACGGAAAGTTCCACCCCAAAAAAAGTGTTTCTTAAGCAGCTGTAAACAAATGGAAAGCTTTTCTCCCTTTCTTTTTTTTTTTTTTTCCAATGGAAATGCTTTCTCTAGTTTTCATGACCCCTCAAATGCCTACTGCTGTCAGACTCCTAACACACATCTGGCTTTGAAGGTAATGGTATAAAAATGGCAATTTCAGAACATTGCATTAAGTAGATGTCAAAGATTTGGAGTAAATAAAGTCTGTTTAGAAAAATAAACAAGAATGGGAGATGCTAAGATTTGTTTCTGGTTTTAGCTTACTTTTTATGCTGGCAACAATTGTCATCATTTAGCAGCAATGACCCCGTATTGCCAGGCGTGGTGGGGATGCAGAATCCCCTGAAGGGATGAAGTACATGAGAGCTTGTATCAAGCAGCTAAACTTGTTTCTTAATGCTTTTTTAACCAGTAGTGTGTCATGGCATGCAGTATTGACTTTACTTAATATAACTTTTTCTGAAATAGTGTTGTTGGATTGGCTTCTATCATCTCCTCATCTCAGAGGAGGACTAAAGTCAGCTTGAATTCCTCTAAGAGGGGCTTATCTTTTGGCTTTTGCAGCAGAGGCACCTAAGACTTAAGGTTGCTTCTATCTAGACATCTGTGAAATTGCTGAACCTGTGAAAATGCGTTGAGGTGAGTTTAAATATGATTATGACTTTCAGGAAACAGCTAAGTTAGCTGGGTCAAGGACTAAACCACAGAGACCAGAGATGTACCATGATACAAATACTCTGAGAAATGTTTATTTGCATAGGTTTGCAAATTAAAACAGGCCTCCTTAACTAGTTACAGAGACAAGCAAGGCTTTCAACAGAGCAAAATACCCAACAGCTGCTATTATTTTACAAGAACCAAACCCTGCATAACTTGGGCTGATGGCAAGCGGATAAAGGTGTAAGGTCAACTAGCTAGTAACTACGGGCATGAGCTGTGGTTTAACCACTCAGGTCTCTAATCAGTAAAGCTTTGTCCAAAGGGCTTCTTGTTTAGAAAAATGTGTCAACTGAACGCTTGTTCAAGACATTTGTAACTTCCTGTGAAGGCAGAGCAGATTAGATCTCAAACTGAGAAACTTCCGTTCTCTCGAGCTATTCTGAGAAAAATGAGGAAATTTTGTACGACAAAGAAAAAAAAAAGTGTGTTTCCTACAAGAAGCATACACAATCTTCTTTCATCTTTCAGTGGGCTCATTAATCACAGTGATCATGGATTAAACTCTTGGTAATAACACAAGCAGTCCTCTGACTGGCTTTAGTGCTGGATAATCTGAATAAAAGATAATTCTAGCAAGTCTGGTGGAGAACTGAGCTACTTTTGAGGAATCTTTAAAAAGTCCCAGAGACAGGGAAAAGAAGCAAGCAGCAGAGGTTTTGTTCCTCTCTGTCACTTGCTCAATGCCGTCACGTCCCTTTTCATTTTTATTAACCTTTCTCTATGATTAAGGAGGACTATAAGGTTTATAAGTCTCTTCTTTGGAGATAACTGAGAGCCCACTCTTCCCTGCAGTTACAAAGCGTACAAAAAGATGCAAAAC